AGTTTACAGTCTTACTTGCAACCAAAATTGCCAGCAAGTTCTAGTAAATTTTACAGTATATTTTAACAGTGCAGTTATTATTCCTAAAATTAAAAGCTTTGGCCAGGATATTTAAATTCTGAGTGATTTATTTCTTTAAACTCTAATAAAATAAATAGATCATTAAAAAAACATTCAAATGATTTAAACGCTTATTATATATTATATTATATTATATTATATTATATGCTTAAATAAATATAAAATTATATAAACATACACTACCGATCAAAAGTTGGGGGTCAGGTTTTCTCCCTTTTTTTTAATATATTCTGTTAATCAAGGCAGCACTTAAATGTTAAAAAAATTGTTAAATACTTAATTATTAAATATTTATTAATGGCTTATTGTATGTAGTTTCAAATGAAATTATCAGTCCAATCATTATTGTTTTTATCATTATTATTATTATCATTAATAAAAATAATAATAATAATAATAATAATAATAATAATAATAATAGTAGATTTCTAAAGTACCAGGTGACTGAGGACTGGGGTAATAAAGCTGAAAAATCATCTTTAAAATCACTGGAATAGATGATTCAACTGAATTATAAACTGTTTTTGAACAGTTACTTTAGTAGTTATGATTATCAGCGATCAAGTTGCTAGGACTACAAATCCGAAATTTATAGACTACAAGATCCAGTCATGCACCACACACACACAACCACTTCCTGATCATGACTGATTACATACACACAGCCGGAGGATTGTGTTTCTTTGCCTTGCTTTGTCATGTTTTTGACCCTCGCTTTGTTTGTTTGTTTATGTTGTATGCTGCCTGCCTGTATTAACTATCCGCCTGTTCTTTGACGACGACTCTGGTTTCCCGTATACATCTGTTTGCTCCTGTGTTGACTGTTGCTTGCCTGACCATTCTGATAAACAAACCCTGCATTTGAATCCGCACCTCTGTTCTCAGCGTCACTTCACTGTTAAAGTAGACTCAGTCACAATGTGTGCGTTTGTGCTGTTTTTATAGTCCATGTAATCAGTCTATGACAATCCTCCTGCTGTGTGTATGTAATCAGTCATGATCAGGAACCGGTTGTGTGTGTATGGTGCATGACTGGATCTTGTAGTCCATAAATGGCAGATTTGTAGTCTGTTAGTGATCTGCAGCCACTACATCGCTGATAATCATAACAATAGTGCAATAACATTTCAGTTTGACAATTTATACTGTGTTTACTGTATGATTAAATAAATGCAGCCTTGGTAAGCAGGATAAGCTTATTTTAAAACATTTGAAAATCCTACTGACCCCAAACTTTTGACCGGTACTGTAAATATGCATGCCTCATGACAAACGACTGCAGCTTGAAAAACTGCTAAGAATTTAATTCAATTGCAGTCATTCGAATACATATTATTAATTCTCTGATTATATTGTTTCATACCATGATATACCTGAATGACAACTTTTTTAAAAAAAAAGAAAGAAAAATGTCTATACATTTTTACATGAGTGAAATACATTAATAATATTGTAATAACACAATAACCTATAAATGTCTGACATTTTTTCATACTCAGTCACTAATTAGAAGTTGCTCATCGAGTTATCTTCCTGTTTTAATAAATAACAATTCTAAGCTTGCTGTGTTTGTGTTAAACTGTAAATGTTTTGTACACCATCTCAGTCTCTATGTTTTTTGTTTTTTTTGCGGTTCAACATACAGGCCTTGACCCTAGTTATAAATAAAGAAAACGGTCAGCAAAAGCCGTGGATTCACATGCAGGTGTATCAACAAACCAGGGATTATCGACTTTCCACGCTCGCCTCAGGTGCTCTTAAAGGCAAAAACACTGTAAGCCTCATTAAGTAAAACCCATAAGATAAGGTACGGGGAAATAGACCATTTACACCACTGCACTGTCAATAAAACTCACATGGTGTAGCAAACAATTTAGAAAGCAAGTAGAATGGCAATATCATTATTTTGGATATTTGGATAGTTTACTGTGATATATACTAGGGCTGGGTGATATGGCAAAAATGCAATCTCGTTAATTATTTTCCATATTGAACAATGACTATACATATTTCAATATAAGTTGTTAATGCTTCCAGATTTAAAAGAGTACCCCAACAATGATTGAATCCACAAATAGAGGGTCCATTAAATGGCATAACATATTTTTGGACAAAATATGTTTGGAAAAAGTATGTTGCACATATCTGCTGTCTGATTGGCTCTTGGATTAATATAGTAAAAAAGTTCAGAGCGAATCATTATTATTAAGATCTATTTTATCGTGATTCGATTTAATATAATTTATCGACCCAGCCCTATAGTACAATGGTAATTATGGAGATATGGATATGTGATATAACAATGCATTACAGAATAACGCTCACTGACTTTATAAAAGTATACCACTATTTCTATAGACTTTACCATAGTATTTGTAAAGATGTGGATACTTGATATCACAATGTAACATTATTTTAAACATAAAATAAACATATATGGACTTTAGCATGGTATTTATGCAAATATAACTATTTAACAATGTACTATTATATTGCCATTTAATGATAATACTATTATTTTAAATATTAAATAACATCACTGTAAGGAAGGGATATGACAATGTAAAGCTACCATGATATTACTGTCATTGTAGTCTGGTAATAAGAGTATGTTAGACATGAACCACATTAGGACATTAACATTAATGATAGTACTACGGTATTCGCACATGATGGGATATAACAATGTAACGTTTCCACATTATCACTGTACTATAGTACTTTAATTTTAGACAGGAACTTCATCTTTTAGGCATGGTTTTTCTGGTATATTCATATTATTATTAATAATATAACTTAATTTTGGTATTAGAATTGCTGAATGTCATGAACATTAGTATTATTTAAAAATATTGAGGTAAAGTTGATTTTATATTTGCATATTCGTTCAGTGACAACTTGTAGCACTGTCCCTATATTGTTTACCATGGTAGAGTATATTGAATATTCGGTCTGAAATCTGAAAGTTTGACTTCTTAATTGTCTGAACGATGTTGTACTTTCATAGTAATTGGTTGGAAAAATTGTTTTCTTATTGAGAATATGTCTGAAACTACTTTATATCATTAAAAAGAAAGTCCGATGTGCGAATATGATACCAACTTTACCTCAATTAAAAATATATAATTAATAAAAAAATATATTTATTTAAATTGTATTTAATTATATAATAATTTCTTAATTATAATGAAAACGAACTATTGTTTATATATATATATATATATATATATATATATATAAACAATAGTTTGTTTTCATTATTATTAAGAAATTAAAATATAATTAAATAAAATTAAAATAAACAATATTAGAGTTTATAAGAATGTAACTTAGTTTTGGCATTAGAATTGCAGAATGCCATTAGTATTATTTAACAGGGTATATACAGGAATCAGAGAGTAAAATTCAATACCTTTTAAGACCATTTTAAGACTCTTTCAATACATTAAGACCTCGTCGCCACTTTGTCTGAACCGGTAACATTGGCAACATTTTAAATATATTCACTAAATACTGATTGTAGAAACTAATCCTAAACTAAAACATTATTCATATACTTCATAAAAATGTTAATCCAGAAGGTGTCGCCTAAAGAACAGCAGAAATTATGGTGCTGCCTTGCTTACTGTAGTAAACAAAGCAGTGTGACATCAAATATAGCAGGAATTTATCCATTTCATAAACAACACAGCATCCTAAAATTTTAACTATAATTATACAACTGCATAATCAAAAATTATGCAAAATAGCAGCATTTAAGACTTTCTGAGGCCTTAAATTTCTCTAAATTGATTTATCAACTTTTAATACTTTTTAAGACCCCACAGACACCCTGTTCAAAAATATCAAGGTACTAATTGATATTTAAGGTACTAGGTTTTTTCTGGTATATGCATAATATTATTAATAATATAACTTAAATTTGGTATTAGAATTGCTGAATGTCATAAATATCAGTATTATTTAAAAATATCGAGGTAAAGTTGATTTTTTATTTGCATATTCAATGACAACTTGTGGGACTCTCCCTATATTTTTTACCATAGTACTTTAAATATTCAGTCTGAAATCTGAAAGTGTGACTTCCTTATTGACTGAACAATGCTGTATTTTCATGGGCAGTGGTTGGAAAAATTATTTCCCAATTGAAAATTTGGCAATATGTCTGAAACTACTGTACATTATTAAAAAAGTCTGAATGTGCAAATATGAAACCAACTTTACTTCAATTAAATAGCATGTATTTATGTGTGTATGTGTGTGTGTGTGTGTGTGTGTGTGTGTGTGTGTTTGTGTGTGTGTGTGTGTATATAATTGTTTGTTATCGTTGTTATTAAGAAATTAAATAAATAAAGAATATGAAATGATTTAATAAAAAATAAATAAAAATAATATATTATTGTATTTTAAAATCTAAAATATGTATTTTAAATACCAGTAAGTGTCAATATGGGTATAATAATCAAACTACTTAATTAAAATGAGCTGAAACAACACAATTCTTGAGATTTCATTGGTCCAGCATAAGTTTTTATGTTTAATCCACATAAATTTGTTAAAAGTGTTTAGTTTACGATTTGTGTTGGGACAACATGAATGAATTGTGAGGAATCCTGCATTTTTACAGTGTACAACAAAAACTAAAACATTCCTTTCACATATAAATGATTGGCTGAATATTTTTTTAAAACACGAACATGGTATTTGTGGTACATCAATAGTGCATATAAAAATGTACCATAGTAACGTTAGTGATTTGTTGTGGAGTCGCTGTACACATCAACCGTACACATCCCAAAATAAAATATTTGCCTACTGTTCAAAACACTTGTGAGCCTGGAGTGAATGAGGAAACAATGTACGCTGTTTATCCCCCTGAGAGCGGAAAAACAGTAAGATGAGCGTGTAAATGTACCGACCTTTCACATCTCCAGCCAGTGCTTTCCATGTCGGCGAGTACTGGATACAGTGTCCGCACCACGACGAGTAAAACTGGACAAGCCAGGCGCTGGAGGAGTTCAACACCGTCTGCTTCAGGCTGTCGCTGCTCAATATGACCACCGGATCCTCTTCGGTGTATAAACGAGCGGGTTGAGCCCTTCCGAACAGCAGCCCAACAATAATACTGATCTTCAGGCAAAACGCTGCTGCCATTGGGAACGCCGTACAGTTCGAGGACGCGCACGTAAATGAGTTTTTCTCTACATTCAGACTGATTCAGCTCGCTCCTCTGGATGACTACATTTAGTGGGGACGTGAGCCTTCGGGAGTGTCGTCGCTGCGCAAGTAGGACGCAGACGACTATGCTGCGCATCCTGTCTGCGTATGGTCGACGCATATTATGTATTTGACTAATGGGCTAAACGCAGCGTTTTTCAGCCAACGATAAACTTCCGGTGAAAGGTTATGTGAGTATTTTTAATTTCTTAAGGTTCATTTTACAACATCAGTGTTATTATGCCATTAAAATACAATCAGTTAAATAGACTTAAGCATATTTCAAGCGTAAAACAAGATGAAAGACTGTAAACGCAAGCAGCGCCTGCTAAATTTCCATATTTTAAGACTAGGTGTAAATAATTTGAATTTATTGCAGAGCTTCTTGTCCGGTCTGAGAGCCACTTTTTATCGTATATCCATCAGGGAGTGAAGATTATTGATTTTTATAGAAACCAGATTTTAAATATGGCGATTTTGTAATGGTGTGACAGTTCACCTGAATCACTTGGACTGGCTAACTGAAAATTAAAAGTGTGCATACACCACATTTACAAGTTAAATGCTAAGGATGGTCAGAAATGTAAAATTACCAAAAAACTATGAATAAAACATGATTTAAAACGATGAATAAATACAAATGAATAAACATTAAAAACTGCTGAATGTTTCTGCAAATTTAGAGTCATGAATTAAAAATATTCAGTGAATTCAGCATGTGAATGTAAGAAGTTTTTTGTTTCCATATTATACACAAATTCACACACTGTAAAAAAAATCCTGTTTGCCTTAATTTTTAAAACTGAATCAAATTAGCCTTATGAGTCCATTAAACTTAAATTATGTTAAACTGAATAATTAAGTTAGAATATGATTAACTTAGTTTAATAAATAACATTGTACTTAAAACATATGCTGTCATGACTAATTGCTCATATATATTTTTTACAGTGCATTTACTGTTATTTAAAAATACATAGACTGTTAAAAATGTTTTTTATTATTATTTTTGTTTACAGTTTACCTTAATTCCATTTAAATTATTTATTAATATTTAAAATGTACATTTTTTAAACAAAATTGGTCCACCAATGACATTTAACAAAATTTATATTGTTCAAGTTTGTAACCTTTAGAAGATACTTCAAGTAAAGATAAATTATTTCTATTATTTTAATTTCATGTTATCATAATCATGCATGCGAACAAGAGATGTTTAGTTCATATTATATCAAAAATATGTCTGTTAACATTTTTTTCTTCGAAAGTCTTATTTGTTAAAAGCATGTTATAAAAGCAGTTTTAAATTTTTTAAAGACCATTTTAAGGACAAAATCATTTGCCTCTTTCAGCTATATATTTTTAGATAGTCTACAGAACAACCATCACTATACAATATCTTGCCTAATTATTCTAACCTGCCTAGTTAACCTAATTAACCCAGTTAAGCCTTTAATTGTCACTTTAAGCTGTATAGAAGTGTCTTGAAAAATATCTAGTCAAATAATATTTACTGTCATCATGGCATCAAAGATAAAAGAAATCAGTTACTAGGAATGAGTTAATCAAACTATTATGTTTAGAAATGTGTTTAAAAAAACCTTCTCTCCGTTAAACAGAAATTAGGGAAAAAAAGATAAACGGGGGCTAATAATTATTTATTATTATTATTATTAATTTATTATTTTTACAATATTACATTTTTGTTTATTCTTTATCAGGCTACATTAATTCTATCTAAATACTTTATTAATAAATTATTTATTAATAAAAAACAAAAATCTTTTGGTTTTAATTTTTGAATTTTTAATTAAATTGGTTCACCAATGTTTCCAAAATGTTCCACCATTATTTTCTTTACCTTCAGAAGATACTTAAAGTACATTTCTGTCATTTTAAAATGGACAAAAAAAAATCTATTAGAATATTAAAGATTATTGACATTTTTTATTATTTTTATTTGAACTCATTTATGGAAGCCTTGAGAACAGGGAAGATATACTTGTGGATTTTTTTGAAAACCTAAAACATAACTTTGGTCTGAAGGGTAAAACCAAAACTAAGCTTCTGTTATTATTATTAGTAGGAGTAGTAATAATAGTATTGTTGTTGTCTATATTGTGGTTGTAGCTAAACACAAGTGCTGCCAAGAAAGAAGTACAGTATATTTCATCTTGATGATCGTTTAATGTACACAAACATGTTAAATATTTTTTCAGTCATTAAATTATTTTAAGGTGGATAATTAAACAACACATAATTCTCACAAACAAATCATGTCAAATCTCACCCAATAAAAATAATAAAATAATAAAAAATTACTTATTTCACATAGAAAAAAATGTATTCTGAAACATGTAATGCAACATACTGTGTATTAAATGACTAAGCCCAATTTGTTTTAAATGGGTTACTGCTTTAAAATGAATACTAAGGAACAAATTCATTTTAATGCTGGGCAAATATTAATTGTGATCAATCATATATATATATATATATATATATATATTCAATCATTTATTTTCATTTTGGCTTAGTTCCTTTATTAATCAGGGGTTGTCATAACGGATTGAACCGCCACCTTATCCAGCACATGTTTTACGCAGCCGATACCCTTCCCGCCACAACCCAACAATGGGAAACACCCATACACTCTTGCATTCACAAACATACACTACAGCCATTTTAGCTTATTTAATTCATCTATAGTGCATGTCTTTGGTCTGTGGAGGAAACCAGAGCACCTGGAGAAAACCCACGTGAACACAAGGAGAACAAGCTAACTCCACACAGAAATGCCAACTGACCCAGCCAGGGCTCGAACCAGCAACCTTCTTGCTATGAGGTGATCATGCTACCTAATTCACCACTGTGATGCCTAATTTGTATTGTATACAAACATAATAAATGTTCACAGCGCACACACACACACACACACACACACACACACACACGCAAACACGTTATCTTAAAACAAACTTTTAATTTGGATTAATTGCGATAAATTTATGCCCAGCACAATTTTTTTTAAATAAAATGTTAAATTATTATTTTTAAATGTATTTAATAATTTTCCAAACGGTGATATGCATTATGTTCCCATCATTACTCCAATAAAAGTATTTTTAATTCATTAGATTAAACAAATATAGCTATTACTTTATAAAAAACATAAATCAGGAGGTACTACAGGCATCGCAGCCAATACTTTTCACATTTAAGTGATGAGATTGTGTTTTTTTTTAATTCAATTACTCTTTTAATTTTCATTAAAAGTGGTATTTAAGCAAAATCTACTCAAATGTCATAAACAAAAACCACAAAATAGGAAAAAATAAGGGTCCTAAATACATTTATATTCTTCAAGCAAAATATAATTCATGAAAAGAATGAATTATGACCTGGATTCACTCCAAAACAAGAGATTAAAAGTATGAAAGTGTCCTCAAAGACTTGTCCTTTATGTTAAAAGTGCAAATGATTTAGTGCTAATATTGTGTCATCCAAAAGAAGGCTGAAAATCTCTTCAGTCAGATGCATTTTCACAGTGTACTGGTCTGTTCTGTAGTCTAGCCAACGTCTCTCCTCATTATGGAGTTCCTGAATCTAGAACAAAGGCAAAATGAGATGTTTTCAACTCTACGGTTCAATCTTTTCGCACTGAAAACCACTAATTTCATGAGCAAGCATATTATTATAGGAGTGCCTTTACACACACCAGTATAAAGTCCACTCTGTCTCTCTTGGCGTACCAGTATTTGCACAGTTTTTGGAGCATCTCTGTCATCTGTTGCTCATTTCGCTCTAAATTCAGAAGTTTCTGGATCTCTTTTCTCACTACAGCCTGATATAAAGAAACGATTAACACAATGCAAGTGCTCAGTGCATATAGAAATCCATGGAAATATATGTACATTACATATACTGTATGACATATTGTTGTTTGGATTTTGCACATAAATTATTTGTCATATCCAGTATGCAACCTATATTTCAAAGTATTGCAAAAATGGAGGATTACATACATTTTTTCAACCATTAGAATTACAAATATGTTCAAATATATTATATAGTGTGTTTATACATGAACACTTATATTAATGGTATGTATATGAGCACAATCACACAAGTAGCAGTGCAATATGACTGTATATCAGCACTGAGTCGAGTGCTTCAGTGTCCCACCAGTGCTGATATACAGCCTTATCGCACTACTACTCGTGTGATATTGCTATTGTGATATTGTGTGTGTGTGTTTTTATATATATATATATATATATATATATATTACCGGCCACTTTATTAGGTACACCTTACTAGTACCGGGTTGGACCCTCATTTGCCTACAGAACTGCCTTAATCCTTTGTGGCATAGATTCAACAAGGTACTGGAAACATTTCTCAGAGATTTTGGTCCATATTGACATGATAGCATGATGCAGTTACTGCAGATCTGTCGGCTGCACATCCATGATGCGAATCTCCTGCTCCAACACATCCTGCTCTATCGGATTGAGCTCTGGTGACTCTGGAGGTCATTTGAGTACAGTGAACTCATTGTCATGTTCAAGAAACCAGTCTAAGATGATTCACGCTTTATGACATGGTGTGTTATCATGCTGGATGTAGCCGCCAGAAGATGTGGTCATAAAGGGATGGACATGGTCAGCACCAATACTCAAGTAGGCTGTGGTGTTGACACGATATCCAATTGGTACAAATTGACAGGAGTCTGACAGGACTCCAGTCAGCCAGTCAGCCTAAAGGTTGGACGTGCTGTGTGTTCAGAGATGCTCTTCTGCAGACCTCAGTAGTAACAAGTGGTTATTTGAGTTACTGATGCCTTTCTGTCAGCTCGAACCAGTCTGGCCATTCTCCTCTGACCTCTGGCATCAACAAGGTATGTGTGCCCACAGAACTGCCTGGATATTTTCTCTTTTTCGGTCCATTCTCTGTGGACCCTAGTGATGGTTGTGCGTGAAAATCCCAATAGATCAACAGTTTCTGAAATACTCAGACCAGCCCGTCTGGCACCAACAACCATGCCACGTTCAAAGTCACTTAAATCACATTTCTTTCCCATTCTGATGCTCGATTTAAACAGCAGCAGATCGTCTTGTCCATGTCTACATGCCTAGTTGCATTGTGTTGCAGCCATGTGATTGGCTGATTAGAAATTTGCGTTAACGAGCAGTTAGATAGGTGTACCTAATAAACTGGCCGGTGAGTGTGTATATGTATACTGTAGATTTCTAAATGGGAAATATTTTGTGCTCAGAAGTACCTACATCAAAATGTATAAAACAGTATGTCTTTTACCTTTAAAAATGTGACTGAAACTGTACTTGATCGCAGAGCTGAAACAACAGATGGATCATGTATATTCTCTGTAGATTGTTTTGTCCATAATAGATCACCCAAAATCTCATGAAGAACATCAGACGTTAACTGGAAGATCACCTGCAGTATACAGTGAATAAGGTTTAGATTCAAGTTTAGTTTCTCTCTATTAGACATTAGTTAGACACACACTACTACACTAACCTGTCGATAACGTTTGCGGCTGTCATCGTCTAATAGATAGCTTGGTGTTTCATAAAGGTCAAGAGTGTCTTCATTTGCTTGGCTGTATAGAATCTCTACTGAAGCGTCCACTAATCTGTACACAATGCTGTCTTCATGGGGCGCCACTTTTATCTTTGCTGGCGTTTCAGTTTGGACCTGATGCCATTGCTCCAAGACACATGGCATAAAATAGCCATCCTCACCTTGTCTAACATCCTGGATATCAAAAAAAGAGTAAAGTCCATTAATACACTTCACTTTCTTTGTAAATAGACAAATTTTACAAGTCACCTAGAGTAAAACAGTCGAGTTTTACCATGTTTGAATCCATTCAGCTAATCTCAGAGTCTGGCTAAAAGCACTTTTAGCTTAGCTTAGCATAGATCATTGAATCGAATAAGACCATTAGCATCTCATTTAAAAAATAAAAAAAAAGACTTTTGATAATTTTCTTTTTTAAAGCTTGACACTTCTGTATGTACATTGTGCACTAAGGACATCCCAAGTCTCCCGGAAGTTCCGGGAGTCACCCGCAAATGCACAGTGACTTCCAGATGCCTGCAAAGGAATGATAATTTCCCGTAAATCGCACGTCTCCCGCTCACACCTTAGATACGTCGCACACCCCTCTACACCGCATTTCTCCCAGCACATCTGGTACATCGCACGCACACGCCCCCACCGCTCTTCAGATCCGTCGTGCGCAACTTGCCCCCACCGCTCTTCACGTACATCGCACACACACGCCCCCATAACTCTTCAGATCCGTTGCACACACCCCTCCCCTACAGGGACCCACTTCTCCGCAACCTCCCGCAAATCATCTCTGTTTCCCCCGGAAATGACTTTTCCCAACTTGGGATGTCTGGTGCTCTGGGTCAAGGTTAAAAATTAAACATTGTAGCATTGTTCAGCCGTTTTAGGTTCATCAGACCGAGTGCTCTGAAACAAACAAGCTGAAAAGAACCAAAAAGCAGTCACGTGACAACATTCACATCAATCGTTGACAAGACAAATTTGCTAGCCTCCTAAATTTGCTAAAAACTGCATTTTGATTGGTCAGAATTAACAGGCGGGAAACTCACATGTACAACACACAAAAGAAAACAAACAGTGAGGGGAAAATCAGCAGGCAGTATGGACCACAACCCCACGTTTAAACCTGCCATACTTGTGGTAAAGTATCTAAAAACCCTTTTTTCATCCCAGAATGCATGTCACAGCTGACTACAGCAGCTGGTTCAGTCCTAAAACACAATGTACTTTTTTCATTTGGGTCGGTTTGAGGTCGGTCTCACCTCAAACCATTCCAGGGTTTTTGTTTCAGTTCATTTTGTGCAGGTGTAAAAGCCACAATCACTAAAAGTGGACCGAACAAGCATACCGAGACGTGCTTAAAAAGGTGGTCTCGGTATGCTTGGTTAGTCCAATTTTAAATGAGGCAGGTGTTAAAGTTGCTATTTTTTAGGCCCATATTGAACTATAATCTCAAGTCTGGCGAAATGATCAAGGAACTTTGTTGCTGTACCATGGCTGCAGCAGGCACAATGATATTACACAGCACTGTTACCTAGGCTGTTTCTCAATATGTGTTTTTAAGCGATATTGTGTCCTCGTGTAACATCAGTTCCAAAACTCAAGACCACAAGAACGGAGGACACATGAAAGTTCCCGGATGTGTTTTTGGTATTGAGGATGCACCACCGATACAGACTTGAGTGAAAAACTCGCTCGAGAAGTCCCAGAAGTCATTGTGGCCAGATAAAGGAGGTGGAAATCGCAGCATTTTATATGGATTTATTATTAAAGTTCAGAGATATAACTTATTTATCTCAGGAGTTTCTCTAAATGAGATGGTGAAAGTAAACATTAACATGAACATCTTAATAAAGGAATAAACACATTAAGGGTGTTTATTTGCTGAAATTCCTATTAAAATCTGTTTAATTGTACTGTGCAAAGTATATTTGTAAGGTTTTTGTGCATTGAAATATACATTGAAAAGGAAAAATAAATAATAAATCGTTGTATAAATGCTGTAATTTTTACATTAGGCGTCAATAGCCTAGTGGTTAACTGCGCTGATATACAGCACCATAGTGCTCACAGTGAGCAGGGGCATTGCTAAACCCCTATTACCGGGGCACATGCCCCAGCCAAAATCGCCAGTGCCCCAGTAAATGCTTTGAGAAATTATTTACTTTATATGCAAGTGTATTTATGCAAGAGTGGTAATACGAGAATAAAAAAGTTATCCTCTATGTGCAACAAAACCAACACTGATGAAAGTAATGTAGCTTAATCAAAAAGCAAACTGAGCATGTGCGCAAAAAAAAACAAAAAAAAACCTGCGCACCTCACACACACGCTTCTGCTTGATGCTGATGCGCTGCTCGTTCCCGGACCGGTTGTGAACATGCAAGCCAAAAAAATAGCTGGGCCACTCATGCGTTATAAAACCAGCTTTACCAGCACGCAGTGAGTTTTGCAAATCGACAAAAGAAAGTTTAAATAATATGATGGTGATCTTATTTATAATGCATGACTCCTGATAGATTTTCTTTTGGTATGATGCAGAAAGAAGGGATGAAGTCAGGGAGGTTAGACTTAATAAACCTAATTCTCGGCCATGAGTCGGGTCTAAGACAACAAACAACAGACAATTCTTAAAGCATCTTTTCTTGTATTCTATTAAATTGTCTATAGAATTTTATTCTAATAAAACAAATATTCATGCAAAAGATTTATTAAATTATCCAAGGATCACTCCAGTTGTGTCTTTACATTGTCTTTAGAAGTTGCATTTAGGATTATTTCTGTTATTTATTTAGAATATTAATTGTTTTAATAACAATAGCACTGTTGTTTATTTATAATAATGTTTTTTGTTTTAGAATGTATATATATATATATATATATATATATATATATATATATATATATATATATATACACATGTTTATTTATTTATATTTTTTGGAGCGGGTGCTGTGCCCAAGTAGAGCTTTATGTCTAGCAACACCTCTGACGGTGACCCAAGTTTGATTTCTAGCTCGAGGTCCTCTGCTGATCCTTAAAAAACCAAAAAAAATTTCTAAAAAATAATTAATAAAAAAAACGCTCTTCCGAGGTGACCTGGCATGACCGGTCTTCACAAGCACACAAGTCTGTTCTCTGCGGAATGAAGAAACAGCTCTAGTTACCTAGCTGAGGACTATTTTCAGGTATTGCATAATATCACTTCACTTGATGCAGCCATGATATGACAGCAAAGTTCCTTGATTATTGACCTAAGATCAGCTGAATTTGGTTTAAAAATGGCAAAACTAGCCTATTTAAAAAAAACAATAATAACAGTAAAATACAAATACAGAGTACATACATAGATCCTATTTTACTATATCTTTTTTAAATCTGTTTTGCAGCTTTTTTTGCGACTCACGATGTCTGTAGATTTAATTCTTTGTCTCTTTTTGGTATCTTGTGCACAGTCTTCTTCATCTTTATCCAGATCTTCTGTCAGCTTAGCATCCACATGACACCTATTTTCCCCATTATTATAGAGCTTAACGGTGGTCTACAAAAAAAAAAAAAAATAGATGTTTAGTTAGAGATGCAGTTCTGTTATATGATAAACAGATAAATAAGTTTTTACTTTTAATTTCTTAATATAGAATTCATGCTGAAGGAAATCTTTAAAAATATACAAATTAAGTCTATCTTTTAAGCCCTCCTTTGATTTATCTTTCTTTTTTAAACATTTCCCAAATTATGTTTAACAGAGCAAGGAATTTTTTACAGTATTTCCTACATTTTTTTTTTTGTTCTGGGAAAAATCTTATTTGTTTAATCTGTTTAATTTTTAAAAAAACATTTTATAGTTAATATCATGAGCCCCCTTAAGCAATATTTTTTTTCAATTGTCTACAGAACAACCCATCGTTATACAATGATTTTCCAAATTACCTTAACTTGCCTAATTAACCTAGTTATGCTTTTAAAATGCACTTAAAGCTGAATACTAGTATCTTGAAAATATCTAGTAAAACGTTATTTACTGTCATAATGGCTGTCAAGGTCACCAACGATCTAGCCTGTGCAGATCGCTGGAGAACTACATAGATGCCACTTTAATGAACTGCAACTCCCAGAACTCTTTGCACACACACACCAGTTCCCGATTCCCCCTGATTACACACACACAGCTGGAGTATCATGATGGCTTGATAACCTGAACTATAAATACACCTCACTCACACATACACTTTACTGAGTCTTGTAAACTGTGAGCATGAAGAAGTGTGTCCTTGAGTTGCCTTGCTGTGTTTTTGATCTTTGCTTTGTTTTGTTGTTTATGTTGTTTTGCTGACTTTCCTGTACTCTGACTACGCTTTGGATTACCTACATGCTCCTGTCTGTCCCTGTTTTAACCTTCGCCTGCCTGTAGTGGTGAAACGTTTTGAAACTCGACTTTACAGTGACGCCTAGTGGTCATTATTATGTATTGCTCTGGAACAGCTTTAGCAAAAAAATAGATATGTAAATTAAGGAATTAAATCCCATGTTGTACAGTGGAGGTTTTAAGTGATTTAGTGAAGCGGTGAGAGTTCCAGTCAAGCATACAATGAGTTGGAATCCAGGGTGGTGCAGCTATAGATGTTCTGATCTTTTAACGTGTTTTTTTTTAGCATTGTTCTGACATCCGAACGAACACTTTGCGTAGAAATATGTCTTGTTTTGGTCATTAAAAAGTAACATTATTAAAATACATCAAGTCATAATTTCTGAGTATTTGTACAAGTCGGGATTTGAACTCTGGCCATTTGTAGCATAGTTACTCTGTGCACACGTACAGTCCACTAGACTACATGAGATCGAATTTTTTCCGACCCTGTCAGTCAAACGCAGATTTGCCAGGTCTCGAAAACGCTTTTGAAGCGCTTTTGAAATGACAGATACTTTGAATTGCTTTAGTCACATGACCTGGTGTTTCGAAACACTTTAGTCACGTGATCTGAGTGTTTTGAAACACCTTAGTCATGTGACCTGGGTGTTTTGGATCATGCTTCGGTGAAGTGTTTCAAAACACTTGTGCTTCGGGATTTCGACACTGTGTCAAAAAATCAGTTTCATGTCAGCGATCCTTACTTGACTTGCCTTGCTTTTAACCTTTGCTTTGTTTTTTTGTTTATGTTGTTTTGCTGCCAGTCGAGACCATTCGCCTGTACTCTGACTACACTTTGGATTACCTACATGCTCCAGTGCCAGTGCTTAATTGCTTAATTTGTAAATTGCAATGTCCCTGAACAGATCAGGGTAACTGATCCGGCATGTTACCAGAGGAGGGAGAGTAGTCGCGGACGAAAGTGAAGAGCGAGGGTTGGGGAGTCACAGAAGAAAGTGAAAAGCAGGGTGGGACAGGGAGTATCGCGGATGAACGTGAGGAGGGTTGGGTAGTCACAAAAGAAAGTGAAGAGCGGGGCAGGGGGGGAGTATTGAAAACGAACGTGAAGAGGGATGGGGAGTCACAGAAGAAGGTGAAGACTGGGGTGGGGCGGGGGTGCGTGTGAGGAGGGAGATCAGTAAAATGAGGTGCCGGCTTGTTCCGGCACAAATTAAGCCCTGCTAGGGGTTAAAGTATTCAGGAGGCCTAATGACTTCAACTGTATATTTTTTTACTTTTTAAACACTTCAAACTTTTTACTGTAATTTTCTGAATTTGTTGGATTGTTGATTGAATTCTCTTTTAGTCATTAAACTTATATATCTCACTCCACACCACCCACATACTCTGCTTGAGACCGGATAACTGAAAACAAGTGGTTATTATTACCAAGTGGAAACAGAGCCTTATGGATTTCTAATGACATCAAAGTAAATAAACGAGGACAGCATTTTCATCCCTTTAAAAGCTTGCATTGCTTACTCTTTTCAATGCCATTTCAGAAGGATGTGAAAGATTTCTCACACCAATTGATGTGGCTTCATGAGTTTCCTCTTGGCTTCTGTGTATGGTGTCAACAGGCATGGTCTCATCTCTATTAAAACAATGACTACATCCTTTTTGTCCATCTGCTCCCAATGTGTCCTTCAGCAGTTTATCTTGCTTAGCGCAAGTCAGTTCCTCATCTGAAAATGGATCTTCATCAACCCCAGTCTCTACATCACTACCATGTTCTCTGTGTATGTCCTCCGCTCTGACCAATACACCGTGGCTTTTTTCACAACTAAAGTATTTCACACCTCGAAAGGTTCCATTGTGGTTTCCACAAGGGTCATCCAAAGCCACACCAGCCCAAAAACCAGTCGCGAACGCTGCAAGGCCTTTATACTTCAGCACACCTGCTCTAGAATTACACACAACAACTCTGTCTCCAATCCGAAAGGAGGACAACGGATCTGATGTTTCATGTCTCAGATCTTCAGCGAGTGAGCTAGTGTGATCTGAACAATTGTTTTCATCTGCATCCTCATTAGTATCATCGTTTTCCTGTTTTTCCCTGGTAGAGCACAGACTTTGAGGCTCTTTTATTTGCCGAGCGAAGTCCACAGGAAGAGGTGGGAGGTTCTCGCTGTTAATAGAGAGATCTTCCACAGAATCTGCCGGTGCTTGATCTTCACTCGTCCATGTGATGATCTCAAACGCAGGAGGATAACCGTAGCTGTCAAGTCCTCCTCCGTTAGCAGACGGCGGAAGTTCTGCACTTCCGTAGGACAAAACCTCATCTACGGGAGAGAGAATTTCTGACAGGGTCGACTCTATGGTTGGTTGTCTTTCAAAATGTGATCGTCCTTCTTGTTTATTGTGATGAGATTCAGCAAAAACCAAACAGCAACTATTTGCTTGAAGAGCTTCGTTCTTTTCTTCATCAAGAAAGTCTTCTTCAGACCAACCGAGGGCTTGGTCACTATGAAACGAAACGGCTTCTGACTTCTCGTCTATTTCAGACAGACTGACGTCACAAGACGGACTATCCTCTGCCTTTCTGATTTCCGCACTTACTGCTTCCAGAATCAAGCTCTCGATGAGCGGATTGTCTTTGGCTGTGTCGTTTGTGCATGTGTTTTGCTCATTGGTTTTGGAGTATGAAAGACATGAGCTCCACTGCCCCTTGTCGAATATATTATGATTGTTGTTCAGTGCCAGCACACTGTGCAGGCGCTGGTTATTCTGGACGTTTAGAGTTGTGGTGTCTGCTGTTGCGCTGCCATTTACTACAATCATTGTCTTTATGTCCTCTTTATGATGGCTCTTTCTAGAGTCCAATTGGAGATCCTCTTTCTTGTCAGATGACATTTTGGGGGCTATGTGTGAGTCTGGCTCACAGTTGAGTGTGAATTGCTGGATATTTAATACTGGCTTCATTGGTGTTTTAGATGAAGGCTGTGGTCTCTCTCTCTTGTGTGAGCAGGTGTCCTCGTAAAACCCTTGTTTCTTCCTCTGAGCGTCTTCTTCTGAAAACAAGATACAATGGTTATTGTTTTATTATAGATGTAAATGGCTATAAATGTTAAATTAATCATACTAATATTAGTTTAGAGCAGAACAGTGGCTCAGTGGTTAGCACTGTGGCCTCGCAGTAAAAAGGTCGCTGGTTTGAGTATCGGCAGGGCCAGTTGGCATGTTCTCTCTATGTTGGTGTGGGTTTTCTTTGAGTGCTCTGGTTTCACCCACAGTCCAAAGACATGCGCTATAGGTGAATTGAATAAACTAAATTGGCAGTAGTTTATGAGTTTGTGTGAATGCGAGAGTGTATGGTTGTCAGTTCAACCCCTGATAAATAAGGGACTAAGCTAAAGGAAAATTAAGGAATATTTGTGTATGCATTTTCTCTTACAAGGCCCAAGCAAACAAAAACACTACACCAAATTTAAAGGTGCAGTAGGTGATTTGCCACAATGCTACGTGTTAGCCTTAATCTCAGAAACACAGTCCCTCCCCTGCAGTCCAAAGCCACGCCTCCTGGAAACACGAGTGTGCGCACCTTAAAGATGACAGCAGAACCTTCTCTGTTGTGTTGAGCTAAAGCTATAACAGTATTATATGTCTTAACAATAAAAATGAAATAAAAATTACTCAGATGAGGATCAAACCTGGGTCGGTGGCATCGTGACCTAACGTGCTAACCACTCGACCACAACAGCTGTACAGTAAGAGGTGCGAGGCTGCGAGAAAATAGATAAAAAGAGTAGAGCTGTGTAATTTAGTTCATCCGATTCACCTATAGCACAGGTCTTTAGACTGTAGGGGAAACTAAAGCACCTGGAGGAAGCAGACAACAACACGGGGAGAACATTCAAACTCCAGACAGAAATGCCAACTGATCCAGCCGGCACTTAAACCAGGGACTTTCTTGTTGTAAGGTGACAGTGCTAACCACTGAGCCACTGTCTTACTGATTCTTGATATAAATATATTTAAAATAATATATATAAAACCAAGGAGGGCTGAATATTTCTGAGAATTTTGCTTCATGTTTTCCAGTTTACATCGCTTCTGTATGATTATATGGTATAAATGCCACAGTCCATCAGTATGGGCATTGAGTCACTCTGCCAACAGCATGAGTCAGCAGAAACCCGACATACAGTAAATCAGCACTCACAATGAATTGCAGTCCTCTCAATAACAACAGAAAGACATCTATCAAATTGAAAGAGTAAAATCAGACGACATGATGTCTGACTGCCTGAATTGAAAGATGAATCCTGACAGTCCCTTCTAGTAAAGTGTTTTTAATGCCCAAAAAGCAAGCCTATAAAGACCTGCTCAACCCAAGCACGATAACTATAAATAAATAACAATAAATATATTTGCATCCACTCGGAAGCATGAAAAATATTTTTTTGTTTTACTTTTCATTTAGCATTATCCCTTTGTAGCCAGCAGATGTCCTCAGAGTGCTACTAACGAATCTGACCAGTGAATCAAGCTTGTGTAATCAATCAAAGTTAAGTAATCAAACAAATTTAGTGATCTCAATCAGTTTAGAGGACGAAAGACCAACACAAACAATTTTCCCCAAAGGAAGCAACACAAAGATGCTGAAACTAGCACTGGATACCTGAGGTAGTTTTATTCGTATACTTTAATTTGCTAGCCTGGCTTACATGACTTCAATGTATTTGTATAATTTTTTCCCATGGTATAACCAAGTGTTTTCTAGATAGTCATTGGCATAATTAAAGTCATCATCTTTAATTAATCTTTGAAAAGGGGGTTTAACATTAAGTTTAATGAACTTCTCCACAATCTCATCATCTGTGACTCTAAATTGAACAAGCTTTTTATATTTCAATGAGTTTCTGATTGTCAGTGGTTTATCTTTTATTAGCTGGAAATAAATAAATCCTGGCTCATTCTGAGTATGTACCCCTATATACATTTCTGGAGAGTGCTAAATACATCCCAGGAGGTACATTTTTTGCAGTTTTTGTTTTCGCGAATTCACCTGAAGCCGCTGTGTACGCTTTTTAAGATCTAAAAATTCTTTTGTGAATGCCACTTGCTATTTGTAACTAATTTCGAGAGGATCACAAACTTATGATTGCTTGGAGCCGGTCTCGCATTATGAAATTTAATTCAATTCAATTCAGCTTTATTTGTATAGCGCTTTTACAATGTAGATTGTGTCAAAGTAGCTTCACATAAATGGTCATAGTAACTGGATCAGGGTAGTTCAGTTTTTAGTGTTTAAGTTCAGTTCAGTTTAGCTCAGTTCAGTGTGGTTTGATTTATGATTTATGATTTATCAATCAGACGATTCCTAAGCCACTATAATAACCCTAAGTTCCATATAACAGCCATCTTCGTTTTGAAGAATCCACTCTTCCACCCCTACTTCTCCTCCTTTTCTAGATGGGTGGCATAGTGGCCCAATAGTTAGCACACAGCAAGAACGTCACTGGTTCTAGTCCTTACCAAGCCAGCTAACGTTTCTGTGCAGAGTTTACACGCTCTCCCAATGCACACGTGGATTTTCCCCCGGGTTCCCCGGTTTCCCACCATCGTCCAAAAACATGCAACTTAAATTTATTGACTAATCCTTATCGGCACCATAGACATGCTCCTAGTAATTAGTTATCTCTTAAGACCAATTAATATCTGTTTATTAGCTACTACTGCAGGGGAGTTCTTGAGATCTACCTGAGCTCAAACTCACCTCTCGCCTTGCAAACGGGAGGGAGCCCCGAGCTCGAGGATCTTATGAGCTCAGGGCTCTCTCTCGGGACAGGATGCCAGACGAGCTTCACAATCAATCAATAGCTAAGTGTGAACTCTTGAAATTTAGAACGATTTTTGTTCGTCGTTGTTACAGTATTTATTTTAAATAATTGTGCTTGGTGTTTACAGTCATTTTGTACTTATGCTCTCAGTACATTATATTTATCTCTGCTTGTTTGTGATCTACAGTTATTTTCGGTATAAATATATCTGTTAGTTAACAGTATCTGTATTTTGTGATTCACAAATGTTTTCCACAAATTTGCGGGTGTGAATTGCATTATGGGATCTTGATCTCTGCTCTATTAACTTTTGATGTTGAAAATGGCTATTTCTCTGTGCGTTGGAGCTTTTGTTGCACTCTCGCTGTAATTTACACTATGTATTAGATCATTCTCTATGTGTCCATGTAAAACTTCAAAATAAAAAAGGAAGAAAGTTAATAAACCAAAACACGAAATCATCTACCCACCAATAACCTCAGGTCCTGTTTTCAAAGGCTTCACGGAGTCACACTGCCATGAAGTGTTTTCTCCCTCAGTCTTGGTGATTCTTTCAGGACCGATGAGGTGAAGATGAGCCTGCTTCTGTTGGCTGTACCTGTGAGACGGACTGATGGTTGGAGGATTGTTTGATTCCTGCTCCACAAATTCCACTTGGTTCCTCTTCCTTCCTAAAGTCCACACTTCATCTGATGACAATAACCTCCTCAAACCTGCCTTACTCAACAAGCTGAGGAAATTAACATTTTAGATTACTGTTTGTTTTACAAATATTGTATTATATGAAATTTTTTTTACCTAAATTGCAGTTTATTTTTTAAGACACATTTTATATTTGTGGAAGTTGTAAAACTCTTTTGTGGAAACTTTTTTCAACATTAGTTCTTGAAATAAAATATTACAGCCAATATTATAAACAATCATTTTAGAATTATTTGTAGCATTATTTTTGTTCAATATTACCCCAAACCCTTAACACCCCAAACCTTTAACACTTCATTTATGAGCATCACATGTTTCCTGAGCACCAAATCAACATGATCATTCTATTATTCATTCTGAATACGTACCTCTATATACATTTCTGGAGAGTGCCAAATACGTCCCAGGAGCTACGTTTTTTTGCAGTTTTTATTTTTTCGATTCCACCAAAGGCTGCTGTGTACGCTTTTTCAGATCTTAAACTTCTCTTGCAAGTGCCAATCGAGCCTACTGTTCTTACTTAAATCCACCAGAGACCGATGTCGACAGACTGACTGAATGACCGATCGACTGACCCACCCTTCTCCTTCCCTAAACCCAATCAATAGTGTTTTCAAAATTACAGATTTACCCGGCCACCCACTTCCCTAAACCCAAATCAAGCCTCGCCTGATTTTTACCTCGTCATCGTAGTCAAGAACTCTCTGTATCTTAAGTCCGCCAACGTACATGTAGAGCTAACTAAACAAACTGGTAACAGCGGGAAAGCCGTTCATATAAAGGTAAGCGGTAAGCTTGTAAGTGCGAAAAGGAATGGCGTCACACCACCCCATAGCGTTTATTTAAAATACTTTACTTCTGACTACATAATTTGCGATCTCCAGACATGTATATAGGGCTGCATTTTATAAATGAGCCTATGTTGTTATTATTATATAGTACCTCAAGGATTTTTTAAGTTCAATGTTTATTAATAATAAAATAAATACATATAAATAAATATATATATATATATTTAAAAATATAAATAAATATATATATATTTTAAATTCACAGTAAAACACAAAAACTGAAGCGAATAATGCCATACGTTTTGTAAATAAAAAATTATTACAAGTAAGTGAAAATAAGTACTTTAGGCCACAAATATAACAAAGTATCTGCAAAATCCAAGTGGGACATAGATTCCCACAGATATATAGACTTTATATATATAGACTTTTTAAAGAATCATTTTATTTATTTATTTATTTTTCTGATTTGAGCTTGGAAGGTGACTTTTGAAAACCTAGTAACTGATAACATTAGTTGTTCAAAATCTTGGACTAGTAGTATCAGTCATATATACATTATTTATTAATCTATAACTTCACGATGATACATTGTTTTGTTAAATAATATAAAAAGAAAACAATAAATCAAATTAAACAATATAAAGATATAACAATATTATAACAAAATAAAGCATCTCTTCTGAGATATTAGATCTAATCCAGTCTCTGTTCACTGTCATTGCTCAAAAAAAAAAAAAAAACTATTTTGATTGCTTATTTTTGTGTAAACTATTGCCTTAAAGGGATAGTTCACTCAAAAATTAAATGTAATCAAAATTGACTCAACCTCAAGTGGTTCCAAACCTTTAAGAGTTTATTTCTTATGTTAAACAGGATACTTTGAAGAAACTTGACATCTTGTAACCATGGACTTAGTGTACTACCATGGACTACAGACCATATAGGAAAGTCAAATACAATAATAGTCAATGGTAATAGATATCCCTGCTTACAAAAGACTTATTTTGTGTTCAATGGAAGAAAGAAAGTCAAACAGGATTGAAACAAATAAAAGGTGAGTAAATGATGATAATGTTCCTTCATTTTTCTTCGGCTTAGTCCCTTTATTCATCAGGGGTCGCCTGAGTGGAATAAACCGCCAACATATGTTTTACGCAGCAGATGCTCTTAAAGCTGCAACCCAGTACTAGGAAATGATGATATCACATTTGGGTAAAATATTTGGGTGAACTATCCCTTTTATACACTGTAAAAATATCTTATTAGTGGTTTTCTGTATTTTGTTATTCACGTTTTCATTTTCCTCCATTTATTGATGCTTTGAATTGTATTATGGGACCTTGATCTTTACTCCAACAGCTTTTGACCTTGAAAAGTTTCAAAAAGTGACTTTTGTTAACATTTTTAATAGTTTAAAGTGACATGTTTTCTCGGTTGGTGTACAAAAACCTTGTAATAAACCGCTATTTTCTGTTATTTCTCCATGTATTATTCCTTATAGCCTACATTATATACAAAAATGTCAACAAAAGCCACTTTGCTAAACTAGAGCTGAATTTTCAACATCAAAAGTCCACAGAGCAGAGATTGAGATCCCATAATGCAACTCACAACTGTACATAAACAGAAAACACTAAACATTACACAATACCTAACAGATTTATTTGAGTCTTACAGAGAACTAATGCCTACTCATGCAAACAGAGAGAGTGAAAGTGCGAGAATCAGAAAGAGAGAGAGAGCGGGAGAGATAAATGCTGTCCACCTACCCTGACCTATTCATGACTGGCATGCTGCCATCACAGTGGGGTTTAGTCGCGAGTAAGCAACCAGAAGAACAGTAGCCTGTCCTCCTTCAGGTCCCATGTGAGACGCTGCTGCCACTCCCCAAATACTGGATCGACTCGCAGCTGCAGTCGAGCAGTCATCCTGCATCTCTGTCTACAGCTATGCCCTCTTTTTTTATTCTCTTCAACTTCCTCCGGCTTGCTCTCTCTCTCTTTCTTTCATCCAATAACTCTCTCCTCCCATCTAGCCGCCTCCTCTCTCTCCCTCTCTCACTCCATCTACCTCATTCTCCACATTATCTCACCCACTTCCTTCCATTTCCATCTCTCTCTCTCTCTCTCTCTCTCTCTCTCTCTCTCTCTCTCTCTCTCTCTCAATTCAATTCAATTTAAATGAGCTTTATTGGCATGACTTGCACAGTATTGGCAAAGCAATTACACAATACATGAAAAAAGAACAAGAATATGTTTGTAAAACATATATATTAAATAAATATAAGTAAATAAAATATATAAAACAAAAAATACATAATTTTTTTGTACATAAGTATAATATTTTTTTATTGCTTAATTGGCATAACAAATGTTTCAAATGTATTGCCAAAGCATTTAGTTTACATTAAAAATAGCATACACACACACACACACACACACACACACACACACACACACACACACATATATATATATATATATATACATACAGTATATAAATGAGCAATATCACACGAGTAGCAGTGCAATATGGCTGTATATCGGCACTTTGCCTACTACTACAGCTACTACTACCACATCTGCTACTACAGTATCTACTACTACTGATACTACTACAATAACGACTACTACAACGACTACTACAATAACGACTATTAATACAAAACTACTACTACTACTACAACGACTACTACTGCTGCGTCTACTACTACTGATACTGCTACAATAAAGACTACTACAATAGCGACAATTAATACAAAAACAAATACTACTACTACAACGACTACTGCTGCGTCTGCTACTGATTCTACAACAATGACTACTACTACAACGTCTACTACTACAACAGCTACTACAACAACGACTACAACATCGACTACTACTACATCGACTACTACAACAACTACTACTACAAAAACTACTTCTACAACAATGACTACTATTACAACTACTACTACACCGTCTACTACTACAAAAACAAATACTACTACAACGACTACTACTGCTACAATGTCTACTATGACTGATACTACTACAACAACGACTACTACATTGACTACTGCTACAACAAAGACTACTACTGCTGATACTACTACAACAATGACTGCTACTACAGCAACGACTACTACTACAACATCTACTGCTACAGATACTGCTACAACAATAACTACAACTATAACAACTACTACTACTACAATGTCTACTACTACTGAAACTACTACAACAACGACTACTACTTCAATGTCTACTACTACAACAATGACTACTACTACGTCTACAACTACGTCTACTACTACAACATCTACTACTACAGCATCTACTATTACTGATACTACTACAATAACAACTACTACAATGACTACTACAAAAATGACTACTAATACAACGTTTTCTACTACAAAACAAATGCAACTATTACAATTACTACTGCTACGTCTACTACTACTGATACTACTACAACGACAACTACTACAACAACGACTACTACAATGACTACTACTACAACAACTACTACTACAACGACTACTACAAAAACGACTACGATTACAACAACGACTACTACTACGTCTATTACTACAAAAACAAATACTACTACTACTACGACTACTACAGCAACTACTACTACAATGACTACTGCTACAACATTTACTACTACAACGACTACTACAACAACAACTATTACAACAACGACTACTACTACAACATCTACTACTAAAAAAACAAATACCACTACTACAACGACTACTACAACAACGACTACTACGACTACTGCTACAACAACTACTACAACAACAACTATTACAACAACAACTACTACTACAACGTCTACTACTACAAAAATAAATACTACTTCTACAACAACAACTACTACAGCAACTACTACTAGAACGACTACTGCTACAACAACGACTACTACAGCAACAACTACTGATACTGCTACAACAGCAACTACTACTATGTCTACTACTACAACAACGACTACTACTACAACAATTAATACTGCAGTCTTCTACTACTGACACTACTACAACAACGACTACTACAGCAACTACTACTAGAACGACTACTGCTACAACAACAACTACTACTACTACAACTACAACGACTACTACAACAATGACTACTACAGCAATTACTACTAGAACGACTACTGCTACAACAACGACTGCTACTACAGTAACAACTACTGATACTGCTACAACAGCAACTACTACTACGTCTACTACTACAACAACGACTACTACTACAGTATAACAACTACTACTGCAGTCTTCTACTACTGACACTACTACAACGACTACTACTACAGTGTTTACTACTAAAACAACAGCTACTACAACTACTACTACTACAACATCTACTACTAGAACGTCTACTACGACAAAACTACTACTACATTGTCCACTACTACTGATACTAATACAACAATGACTACTACTACAACATCTACTACTACTTCAGCAACCAAAACTACTACTACAACCACTACTGCTACAACAACTACTACTACAACGACTACTACAACAACAACTACTATTACAACAACGACTATTACTACGTCTACTACTACAAAAATAAATATAACAACTACAACGACTACTACAACAACGACTACTACAGCAACTACTACTAAAACGACTACTGCTACAACAACGACTACTACTACAGCAAAAACTACTGATACTGCTACAACAGCAACTACTACTACGTCTACTACTACAACAACGACTACTACTATAACAACTACTACTGCAGTCTTCTACTACTGACACTACTACAACGACTACTACTACAGTGTTTACTACTAAAACAACAGCTACTACAACTATTACTACTACTACAACATCTACTACTAGAACGTCTACTACAACAAAACACTTCTACATTGTCCACTACTACTGATACTGATACAATAATGACTACTACTACAACATCTACTACTACTTCAGCAACCAAAACTACTACTACAACCACTACTGCTACAACAACTACTACTACAACGACTACTACAACAACTACTATTACAACAACGACTACTACTACAACGTCTACTACTACAAAAACAAATACTACAACTACAACGACTACTACAACAACGACTAATACAGCAATTACTACTAGAACGACTACTGCTACAACAACGACTACTACTACAGCAAAAACTACTGATACTGCTACAACAGCAACTACTACTACGTCTACTACTACAACAACGACTACTACTATAACAACTACTACTGCAGTCTTCTACTACTGACACTACTACAACGACTACTACTACAGTGTTTACTACTAAAAAAACAGCTACTACAACTATTACTACTACTACAACATCTACTACTAGAACGTCTACTACAACAAAACTACTACTACATTGTCCACTACCACTGATACTGATACAATAATGACTACTACTACAACATCTACTACTACTTCAGCAACCAAAACTACTACTACAACCACTACTGCTACAACAACTACTACTACGACTACTACAACAACTACTATTACAACAACGACTACTACTACAACGTCTACTACTACAAAAACAAATACTACAACTACAACGACTACTACAGCAATTACTACTAGAACGACTACTGTTACAACAACGACTACTACTACAGCAACAACTACTGCAGTCTTCTACTACTGACACTACTACAACGACTACTACTACAGCGTTACTACTAAAACAACAGCTACTACAACAACTACTACTATTACAGCATCTACTACTGCAAAACTACTACTACATTGTCCACTACTACTGATACTGATACAACAATGACAACTACTACAACATCTACTACTACTTCAGCAACCAAAACTACTACTACAACCACTACTGCTACAACAACTACTACTACAACGACTACTACAACAACTACTATTATAACAATGACTACTACTACAACGTCTACTACTACAAAAACAAATACTACAACTACAACGACTACTACAACAATGACTACTACAGCAATTACTACTAGAACGACTACTGCTACAACAACGACTGCTACTACAGTAACAACTACTGATACTGCTACAACAGCAACTACTACTACGTCTACTACTACAACAACGACTACTACTACAGTATAACAACTACTACTGCAGTCTTCTACTACTGACACTACTACAACGACTACTACTACAGTGTTTACTACTAAAACAACAGCTACTACAACTACTACTACTACAACATCTACTACTAGAACGTCTACTACGACAAAACTACTACTACATTGTCCACTACTACTGATACTAATACAACAATGACTACTACTACAACATCTACTACTACTTCAGCAACCAAAACTACTACTACAACCACTACTGCTACAACAACTACTACTACAACGACTACTACAACAACAACTACTATTACAACAACGACTATTACTACGTCTACTACTACAAAAACAAATACTACAACTACAACGACTACTACAACAACGACTACTACAGCAATTACTACTAGAACGACTACTGCTACAACAACGACTACTACTACAGCAAAAACTACTGATACTGCTACAACAGCAACTACTACTACGTCTACTACTACAACAACGACTACTACTACAGTATAACAACTATTACTGCAGTCTTCTACTACTGACACTACTACAACGACTACTACTACAGTGTTTACTACTAAAACAACAGCTACTACAACTACAACTACTACAACATCTACTACTAGAACGTCTACTACGACAAAACTACTACTACATTGTCCACTACTACTGATACTGATACAACAATGACTACTACTACAACATCTACTACTATTTTTTTTCAGCAACCAAAACTACTACTACAATCACTACTACTACAACAACAACCTGAATAATGGCAAAGGTAGAAATATTAATAATAAAGATAATGAAGAGATAACAGGAGAACAAGTCAGAACAGTAATAATAATAATGATGACAAAAGTAGAAGTAATATTATTAATGATAATAGTGAGAAGGTGAAAATAATTAAAAGGTGAAGTA